TGATTAGAAAAAATGAATGATCCAAGTTTTCTAGGCTCGTTTGAATTTCGGATTATTGTAGTTTTAGAAATGGCCACTATAAACTTGACGAGCACAAACTTCCCAACTCTCGGAATCTTGACTACGGTAAATGCTTTTCAAAAATTTGTAAGCCCAATGGCATGCCAAAAAATGGAATAATCGAAAAACTGTAGTTTTTTTCTCTTTTCCGTGGTTTTAGACAATACATAAAACCTGTAATAGAAGTGCCCCGACACTGTCAACGTTGAGCTCAATTATCTTAATTCCTATAGAAGATATCAAGAATATGTCAACTGATAAAACATTTCTGTTATTACGATTAACAATTTATAAGTAGGCAACTTTTTCATATCAGTCAGAAAGCGAGATAAATTAGTTAAAAAAGTATTTGTCCCTTCTAATACAGGTTTTACGGTAATTCTACTTCTCTGGAATCCCTGATTTCCAGTTTTTTAACCTTCTCACTACAAAAGTCTGATAGTAACTGCCGCCATCTTACGTTTCAAGGAGTCAAAATATCGGGAAATCAAGTTATTGTTATCAGTCGTTCTCTCATAATCCATATCTTTTCAAAAAAAGTCCCAGACACAGGTGGTTTTTTGCTTCTGAAACTGCGTAGTGACGATATACTGTTTGAAGTGGAACCGGTTATTCCTGAAGAAAAAGCCAGACATAAAAATGATAAGGAATGATAGGATATGCAGCAATAATAATAATCCATCATTTATTTTTTTGCGATCGGATGTCTCAAAATGGAAAAAGGTACGAGTTTTGTGTTTGTGTGAAGTAGGTCACTAAGTGAAACTGTCGTTTTCTTCTCTTCCTCTTCATCTCATTTCTTCCCATTACCTATCCCGTCGTCAGGATCCAAGAAGGCGCGGCAAACCGTAAAAGGGCACGCGATGTTCGGAGAGTGAAGAGAGAGAGAAAGTGAAAGGATTACTGTAGATATGTACCTACTGGTCTCGTGTTTCTCGAAGTCACAAACAATATCCGAGACTTCTTCTTCTTCTTCTTCTTTTTCGGACGAGGAAAACGAAGGAGGGGGGGGGGGGGGGCGAATCTCGACCCGCCACTTTCATTTTCATTGCGAATGGAGGGGGAGATTGCCCTTTCCAGGATTACCCGTTTGTAATAAAGAAAAGAAGTTCTTCCTGAAGAGAAGGGGGTGACAAAAGCGGACATACAGAAAAATTAAGAGAAGAAGTACTGACGAGTAAATTTGAAAGGGAAACCAAGAGGAAGAAGAAGCTAAAGCAAATTGAGAAGGAGCTGAGTCATTTGTGCTACCGTATAGCACTTTTATGAACACAAGAAGGTTTAGGTTATGAATATACACAGAAGAAGAAGAAAAGACAATGAAAGTGCCACGTCATCTTTAGAAGGAAAAGGTTGAAATAAAGAGGGAAAGTTGGAGGAAATCATAAGGAATAGATCGGAAATGGATGGAGATTCTGAAACTTTGGTCGAGTGCTAAAAAATAGGAACACATATTTGATAAAGCATGCTTAAATTTGAAATAAAACTGAAAAACGAGAATTGATTTAGATTTTGAAATTTTTCAATATCTATCCATTCTTTTTGTTTGTCTATGCCATTTCCAGAAGAAAAGGTTAACTTGACAAAAAAGCTACAGTGGGGCATAATTACCCGAACTCAAGTTTGTACTAGCATAAAATTTGAGTGCCGCATTGCACTGGGCTCAAAATTTGAGTGCAAAAACTCGAATAATTCATCAGTAAACTGGCCAAGTTTTAAATCATTTGATCAACTTTGAGCTGAGTTATCGCTCATGAAAGTTGTTTCGCCTCATGAAAATCACAGCGAAACAATTCACCGTTCATCTTTCGACAGTCATAACAATACCTAGACTTCGCTTTGAAAATTTCAGTAGCCTTGATTCAGACTTAAAATTACAATTCTACCAATTTTCTTGCTTCCAAGATATTTATGTCTAAAGATATACTCTTTTTTATGAGTCCTCATGATTGTGTGCCAGCCGGCAGAAGGACCAATCGAAGATGATCTGATTGAAATGAACCGTTTAAATTCTGAATTCCCAGGTTTTAAGATATTTGCATTCGTTAAAATTTAGAAAACGGTCATCCTGCAAACCAATGCTCTTACTTTGAATCTTCATTAAAACTGCCTTACAGTACTCCAAAGCCAAGTTTGTGATTTCTTGATTCTTCCAAAAGTATCATTTATCATGGATACAGAAGAATCAAATTGAAATGTATCAAATTATGTTCTATTCCTTGTCTTGTTAATATGCCAATAATTCCGCTGCTTTCTCTGTCTTCTCGAACTTTCTTCGAATGACTTTGTCCTATTTGCAATCTATTTGAAACTGGCTACCTATCCGGACATTTATTTCTTGTAGAACTACTCCCAATTCCACATCATTAATCGCTCCGTCTTCTTTATCAGTTTCCAATTAACTCTTTTTATTTTCCCAATCAGTTCCCCCAATAAATCTTTCTCTTTTCCATTTGAAGTCATCCACAATCATAACATCACTACATTTATTCCGTTTTCATTCTTCTCAATTCAGTTTTATTAAGTCAAGATTGCCTCCAATCCCGGTTCGTGTACTTCTTGTTGTCCGACAAGTCAGTTATATAATGATGCCCTTATTCTTCTTCTGCGCGAAGTTTCAAAACTCGTCGACCACTCGAATCGAGAGAACTGGATTCGGGGCTTCTGACCATACACTACTGATGATGCTTCTTCTGCTTTTCTTTTAGTCTTTTCTCTTTTGGCCCCTCCTAACAAACACATAAAGGACATACTACGGTAATTTCGGAAAATAACAAGAAGAAAAAAAGGGGAAGAGAGATGAGGAGAATGAAGAGAAGAGAGAGAGAGAGAGGGATGGATAAAAACGGAAATGATGAAGCTGGACAAGATTGGATAGCAGTTTACTATGAGGGATTGAAACTTTTAAATATTATATTAGAAAGGAAAAATAGATTTTTCTTGAAACCTGACGGAAAATGGTGCTCACATGAAACTAAAGTTTTAAATATAAGAAGATAAGCAGACAATGTTGTAGGAAATTTCCCAACAACAGTATTGAATGAAAAGATATTTAAATTTAATTTTTTTTCAGAAGATTTTTCAGCATAGATGATTTTGCTGTAGAGTCCTGAAAAAGTTAATAGCTTTAATGTTTATCTTGAAAAGTTCAGATTATAATATTTTCAGTGCAATTCCCTCATGAAGCCTCCTGTAAACAGAAAAGAGTAAAAAAATATCCTAAATTAGTACTGAAATGGAAGTTTTTCCACTTTAAAACCTTGTTTGGATTGTACTAAAATGTGTCACTCACACAATCTGAAGTTTTTATTGTTAGACACATCGAAAAAATTAAAATATGACACATTTTTTTTCCGGTACTGTGTCAGAGTCCCTTCAATTGACGTGAAACCTGTAATAGAAGGAACCCTACCTTTTCGTTTTGAGCCAATTTATCTTGGCTCCTGTGAAAGGTATCAAAAAGTTGTCAATTGATAAACAGTTTTTCATAAAATTAGAAGTATCTTGTCTGTTGACACATTATTGTTATCTTGCATAGAAACCGAGATAATTTAGCTCAAACTTAACAGCGTGCGGGCCCTTGTTTTATAGGTTTTACGGTTTGTTCAGATACAACCATAGCCGTCATCTAGTCTGTATCATATCAAATTCTCCTCCTCCTTCTCTTCCCTCAATTCCAATCTACTTTTTATCCCCTATCCATCTCCTTCCGTTGTTGTAATTGACCAGTCTTCTTTGGCACCAGTCCAAGAGATTGCAATCAGTCCCTTATCAGTCAAAATGGGTTTTCCCAGTAGAAAAAAGATGCGATGCCATTCCAAAATACCGGTTGAAACGTATAATATCTACGTACAAAATATGAAATATAGACAGAGGAGAAGGAATCAAGTGATAAAGGTGATATCAAAAGAAAGAGATATCAGCTGGACACAACAAAAAGCAATTTATCCGATGGTCAATGAAGTTAAACATTATTCAAATGAGAAAGAAAAGAGCACATGCTTTGAAGAAGAATCAAGTTCAGAGCAAACAGTTGGCATATAGTGGTAAAAGAAGAAGAAGAGAATAATCACTCATTCACTGGGACATTACTACGAAAGAGTTGTGAAAAGAAAAGAGGAAAATCTGAAAGGACAAAGGGACTAAACGTTTGAAATTAGTCATTCGTTGGGCAAGAACCAGGTGAATCTTCCAAGAGAAAAGAGAAAACTGAATTAGTTATGAACTGGTTACAGAAACACAATAGAAGAGTAAGTTGCGTAGTTAAGAACACAAAAATGGCGGAGCAAGGTGTCATGTGGAGACATGGAGACTTTGAAAAAATTCAGACAAGAAGAAAGGATCATGAAGGGATTCAGAAGAGAATTTTCGAAATCATACAGTTTCTGATTATTCGGGGGGTTTCTCATGTTAGTTTGAAACAGTTTCAAGAGAAAATAATCTTGAAATCAGAATTAGACTTTTTAGTTTCATGACCATTGATTCCAAACATGGTTAACAAATTCATTTCGACTCTAAAAACACTGACAATATGTTTGTTTCAGAAATACTGAAATTTTTAGCTTCAAATAAGTATTTGTGAGTCAAAAAAAATTGAGGCTAACAATTCGAAATTTCGACTGAAAAGTTGACAGAAAACTACCAAAGAAGGTTAAGTTTTCATCAGAAATGTTTAGATTTTTGAAATCGTTTCGAATTTTTTTCCAAACTCTTCAGATTCTGAGCTTTAAAAACACTTGAAAAACAGCAAAAATAGGGAATTAATTTTTTTTTCAAAAATTTCAGATTTTTGCGCTCGAATCTGAAATTCGAAAAGACCAATAGAAAGAAAAAAGCATTCTTATGAACAATACAAATAGTACACAACACAACAAAACATAACATGAAAACTTAAACAAATTATTCATTCAGAACAAAATCGCAAAAAAAAAATTTCAAGTTCAAATTTTCTGAATCTCCTCACTGGTCGATTTGTTCTTGAACCACAACGCCATCGCCTTATGAACCGTTCCATACTGTTCAGCAGTCTCCACTAATCCAAATCTCTCTGCTCTCAACTTCTCCATCGTCTCCTTTGGATTCACTTCTTTTCCTTTCTGCACCTGAAGCATCGCTGTGAAAAGAGCCAACATTGTACCAGCCCGGCCTGTTCCGTTCATACTCATGAATACTGTGTTCTGGAACTTCAGATCAGACTATTGTGAACTCTATTTGTTGTGATTACCTCATTCGTCTTCAGAACCTTTTCCACAGTTGCAACCAAATCTTCAACCCTATCCAATGCTCTTTTCTGTTTCCAATTGTGAAGATGGTAGATAGTTGTGAGCAGAGAATTCGAGCATCCATCAGGAAGAATTTCCAATGTGTAAGCAGTCATTGCAACCGTTGATTCCACTTTTTATTATTCAAAAACATTTTTCCATGATTCGAATAAGTTCCATTTAAAAGAGGAAAAATTTGTTGAAGAGTCACAGAAGATTCCAATGGCATAATGGCAATGACCACCGAGACAACGCTCTCCTGGAATATCATCCTCCAAAAGTCTTCAATATTCTGAGAATTCGAAACGTCCGGAACTTGAGTCAATATTATTGTACGGTTAAATTCCGGTACGGTGACTCTCGAGGCACAGATGAAGTTGTTGGGTGCATGCGTCAGTTTGATAAGTTTATCGTCTGGAATTGGACAGTCTGGAGCACGAACTTTGTGAAGATTGTTCTTGAAACAAGGGCAAGAGTCAAGAGGTGGTTTCGTGGTGGGAAGATCTTTGAATGTTCCATTGATAGTGTTGTTATCTGAAAATGAAATTAGGTATATGGTTTCCATCCAACTTGACTTACTGAAAAATCCACTGGCCACCATCTTCTTTGCAGTTTCTTCTCCACTCCAAAACTCTGTCGATCCTTTACTTTTCGTTTTTTTCTCATTCCTATTCGTCGGTTCTTGTTGCTCTCGGCAAGTGGTACCATTGCTTTTTGGCTTGCTTCTCGGTGCTCGTTCACTTTGGGGAGCTGATTTCTTTGCTGTCGGTTTACTTGGTTTACGTTCACTTCGTTCGGCTCCACTTTTCACCGCTGCTGCCTTCTTCTTTCTCTTTGATATCATCGACTTGTTCATCTGAAATTCAGAGAATCTGGAATTTTTGAATTTCTGGAAAAGACACTGTACCTTGGAATTATGCAAATGTGAAACTAATGAAAGAGTGAGAGGAAGTTCGATAATTTAAAGGAACCTGATAATCATCGGTAGATTTTATCAGATGAACAAGATATGCCGAATTGATAAGGCTGAAAAAATTAATATCCATACTGACCTGAAACTTAATGTTTCCAGTTTTGTATTATCTGTCGCTCTATTTAACTGTAGTTGTCTAACATAGGTAAAACCTGTAATATAAGGGCCACCACATTGTCCACTAAGCTATTTATATCGGTTCCTGTGAGAGATATAAAAAAGTGGTCAGCTGATAAAATTTTTGTGATATCATGATGAACAATTTATCAGTTGACAGATTTTTGATAGCGGAATTGAGATAAATTGGTACAAAGTTAAAAGTTCGAACTCGATCGATATGTTGAAAATCCCCCCTTCTTCTTCCGTCTGAAAACAATAACAATCAAGTTTTCGAAAGTTTCCTGTGTTTTGAAATATTTCAAAATTCATATAATGAGTTTTTATTATTGATTTTTTTACAATTTTTGGATTTTCATTTCAGGATTTTTTGTGATTTTTAAAATTTGCAGATTTTCGGGATTTCGAATGTGAAGATTTAAAAAATTTATAGATTTTTCAAAGTTCTAATAGAAAATAATTTAGAATTCTTAAGCTTTTCAGAGTTTTGGAATTTTTTGAATTGAACAACTTTTTTTGGATACTCTAGATTATTTAAATTCCAGAGAATTTTAAATTTTCAGAAATCTTGCGAAATTCTGTATCTAATTGAAAACTCAGAAATGAGTTCAAAAATAAGCCTAAGCTCAGAAATTACAAATATTTACAGACCTAGTTTTTTGTATTAAATTACTCGTCTGAACAAAAAAATTTCCGCTTTTGAAAATAGCCTTTCCACTCACAACATTCCTAAAATGTTTAATTTGTTTTTCATAACATGCTTCTTGACCTTTTTTGGTCTTCTTATTCTTCCCATTTCCATATTCTATATTTTCATCAGCATTGTTTTGGCATCCCGCCTTCAAACAGTATAGTGTTCCCTCTCTCACATTCTGTCTGTTTCAAATCAAAACAACAAAAAAGAGAGGTGTCCAAGAGCATTATTCCATCCTTCTTCTTTTTATCGTCTTCTTTTTTTTTTGCTCCGTTTCAATGGTAAGTGTCCCCCGTTTTCTGTTGCCTGGATACTTTTTGCTTCGTTTTTCTTTTTTCTTTTTTTGGTCATCAAATATGTATATTAGTACTAATAGTGAATCGTTTTTCGATTCTTTCCAAATCGAAAACCATCCATCGGGATGTATGTTTTGTCGGTTAATCCGCTCTCTTTTTGCGGGATTTCAAATCTCCAATTATGCGGTTTTTGGATCGATTCGAAATACTTTTTTCACATTTCAAAACCTCTTTCCCTTTTTTCTAGACGCACTTTTTCTATTGCACTATTGTACCTGTTTGGTTAATCCAATTGTAATATTACCCAACTTTAAGGGGAGGGCACAATGTCTCGTGTCTAGATTTCTGATTTGTCATGTTGTTTCAGAGTTTATCACAGTTTGAAGATCAGAACCATCATAAGATAGACGATCAGCAATACATTCATATCATACGAATCGGAAGTTTTAAAATGGATGATAAATGGAGAGAAGCTGCTCCAGTTAACGATATTGAAGCATCTTCATGGATCAGGATTTTCAGAGCAGTAGGTTTTTTCAAATCTATGGTTGAAATTTATTTCAAAAGTTAATTTTATCTTTTTGAACTTATAACCTGTAAAGGAGGACCTCTGACTTTTAACTTTGGGCCAATTCATCTCGGTACCTGTCAGAGATATAAAAATTGTTAACTGATAAATTGTTTATCATAATGTCACAAACATTGTATTAGTTGACACATTTTTGATATATCTCACAAGAACCAATAAATAAACTCGAACTTGATAATGTAGAACCTTTCTATTACAGGCTTCGAAATGTTCCTATCCGGCAGTGCAAAAAATCTTTTTTTTCAGTTTGACACAGATCACGATGGCTTGATTCAATGTGAAGAAATGCAAAAAACCATCAGAGATAGCACTTATTCTTTTGGTTTCGATCATTATGAGCTCCAGAAAATGTCGTTGTATCTAGAAATGAGAGAAGGAAAACCGGTGGATTTCGCGGATTTTTGTTACTTGGTATGACTATTTTCATTGTTTTCCTTTCTCTCATAAGAAAAATAATACATATTTTAAATTCCAGATGAGTAAGTGCAAAGGGTATCGTCTTCGAGAATACCTATTCAAAGCAGCTCTCACAGTCACCCCCCGGAATCAAAGAATCCATGTGTTCAGTGAGCTTCAGAGATACAAATGTGTCCCTCCTCCACTTTTTTTGATACTTGTTTCAATTGTTCAATTGGCGCTTTATCTGTACTATGTGATTGATTCATCTGAAGGTGTTTGGCTATCCGGTCCAATTCCAACACTTTCTCCACTAATTGTTTCCCCGTTTCATTTATCAGAGCTCTGGAGAATGGTCACCTATTGTATTATCAATGTGGGGTTAGTTTTGGGTTTTTTCTGATTTATTAAGATTGGGAGTTTACAGAATTTTTCATGTCATTTTCAACATTATCATTCAACTGGCAATCGGTGTTCCGTTGGAATTGGTCCACACATGGAGAATTTATATTTTGTATCTGATGGGCGTTCTTTTTGGTGAGATTTGAAGGCTCTCAAAGTTACTGTAACTCTAATCTCAGGATCCCTTCTATCTCTTGCCCTTGACCCGACAGTTTTTCTTTGCGGTGGAGCATCTGGTTCATTTGCGATCATTGCTTCTCATCTGACCACCATTGTCACCAACTTCCGTGAAATGGAAAGTGCCACTGTACGGCTACCTCTTCTCATTATTTTTGGTGCTCTTGACTACGCATTGGCAGTTTACCAACGATTTTTTGCTCTCAGAATTGATAAAGTGAGTGTAGGAGAAAGGGAGAGAAGAAACTTTGATTATTGAACTCAAAAGAAACATTCTTGTGATTTGGAATTTGTAGTTGGAAAGTGTTTAGACAACGAAAAAAAATTGAAATAGGAAGCATAAACCATATGAGACATCAAAATAGAACTGTGTTCAATTTCTAGAAGTTTGGAACATTTCGAAACCAGAGGGTCTAAATGGAAATAAAAGAGAAGTGGTCAATAACCAAGAAAAATCGGCTCCAGTCGAATATTTTGGTCCATACAATTATAATTTTTTGGTTTTTATATCTTTTGAAATTTTAGGAATAACAGAAATTTCAAAAATCTAAAAATCCAAAACATTCCGAAAAGTCATAAACTTCACTGAATCCAGATTTTCCACAAAGAACGTGTCAGATATTTCAGAAACATTAAAAACTCAGAAATTTGGAAATAGCAATTAAAATAAAAACTGCAACAGAGAAACTTCTGAATTTTTTTTAGAATTTTTGCCCAAAATGAACCAAAACTACCGTCTAGAACCATAAATCCTCAGAATAGCTTCCGACAATTTCTAAATTTGAGAAAATATAGTTCACTCTGACCTTTTTCCAACAGGAGATTACACCCTTTCCCCCACAATGATGAATGGGCAAATCAAACAAACCTACATGCGTTTTCTTTTACTGAAGAATTTACGTTTCCATGTAATTCTCCAAAAGACTAAACAACTGTTCCGTTGTCGTTTTGCAGCAATTCTTATCATCTATCACTTCTTCCGTTACATTTAGGACTTTTGATTTAAGATTGATAACACAAGCGCACAATCACACAAACAGATCAACTTGTCAAGATGACTAAGTTTTCCGGGAAACACTCTTTTTCGGCGATGTGTTGTCCGGCTGAAAATCCGGGTGATTATGATTACTTTCTTGAAACTACACTACGGCACGTACATTGCAAAAATAACACGTTTTCAGTTTGACACAGTTCTATTTTGGAATCTTTTGATGTTTTTCAGGTATCGATGTATGGACACATCGGAGGACTTGTCGCTGGAATCCTGTTCACTTTCATCCTGTTCCGTGGTTCAAAACCATCTCGTTTCTATACTGTATCTTTTTGGGTGTGTCTTGTACTTTCTGGATTTTATATCGCCATTTGTATTGCTCTTATTGCTGCACCCAATATGCTACATTAATTTGAAAAATAAAGTATTAAGAAAATTTCTGATGTGACCTGAACATGAAAAACGAAGAGCTACATAGTTCTTTCAATAGAAACTGAACTTACTTTCATCTTAAAAATAATCTGATTTGTGGGTAACGAAGTTTTCTGTAATTCATGTGTCTGTTACCAAAATTGTTCGCATGAAGGAAAACTGGGACTAAAGTTTATACTACCATAACATTTTTGTGAAAAATTGCACTGGTCTCAAATTTGGAGTGTGAAAATTCGCATAACTTATAAGTAAACTATCCAAGTTTTGAATAATTTTATCAACCTTGAGCTGAGTTATCGGTTGTCAAAGTTGTTTCATCTCATGAAAAGCACAGGAGACATTACGCCGTTCATCTTTGGAAATCATAACAACACCTTGACTCGAGGAATCGCTTTGAAAATTTCAGTATATTTAAATCAAACAAAAAACTATATTTCTACCATTTTTCGTGCTTCCAATATACTTATGCCTAAAGATACGACGGTGTTTATCGGTCCGAGAAATCACACATGCGCTACACTGAATTTAAAATCTAAAAATCGTTCTGGAAACAACTGAAATGGACTGATTTGAAACATTCGTAGCCAGTTTAAAAACTTTCCAGGATGAATTGAGAAATAACATAGAAAACATGAAATATCTAAAAATCTGTTTTGGGAACTTCATTGAGATGTGAAGCATTTTCTGAAAGATCAAAACACAACTTATTTTTCCAAAGATCCTGAACTCCCAAACAATTCCTGAACAACACAGTGTAGAGTAAACTGTACTCCTCATTTCTATACTTTGACCACTTCTCTGCCATCCGATTTTCCTAATTTCTACTGTTTCTTTTTTTTTCACCCCTGCTTCTCTTCCATTCAACTACGTTATCTATTCTGTTCTTCATCTCCGGGTTTTCCCTTTCTCTCACTTTTTGGCTTTTTTCCGTCAACTGTGCCCTATAAATACTGATAAAAAGAGCATGATTTATCGCTCACTTTCACCTCTTTCTTGCACAAAAACTTGAAACAACGCTCTCTTTTTTCAGTGTATTCAAGAAACTAGACAAGAAATATGCCATTGAATAAACTGATTCAAGACGGTGACAACCAGGATTTGACCAATGAGAGATTCAAATCGTAAGTTTCAATACTTGAGATTTTTGCTCATAAAGGAATTTCAGAACTTTCGACACTGATGCTCTCGCTGCAGTTTTTCATTCGGGAGAGGACTCGTTGAAAAGAATTCGTGAAGTGAGAGATGAGATTACAAAACGAGGACATCTTTTTGATTCTTTGCCAGCTGCTCACAGAACTAGAGCCGAGAAAATGGAAGATGTCAGCAGAAAGGTAGGATTGAGTTCTGGAGTTTTCCGTTTTTTTAAGTCTAAGTTTTGGATTGAGAAACATCCGAGTTCCAAAAAATAGTCAATTAGAGTAATACCTGTATTAAAAGGTCCAGCCCTTCAAATAAAGGTCCCTTCTATTACAGAAGTCCTTCTGTTAGAGGGACCTTTCCAGTCATTCCTTGGTCACTTAGCGAAATTTTCAGATCTTTTTCAGTTTTTCAGCTATTATTAAAGATGCTTTTTCTATTGTTTTCTAATTTTTCATCTGCAATTTGACCGGACGGTGTGAAGATTACTGTAGATTACAGTAGTCAACTAAATCCCTTGTATACTGTAAATAGTTTTTGCCAGCACAATCACGTTATAATGCAGACAAAAATTACCAGAATGAAAACTACAAACTATGAGAAATTGGTTTTCTACAGTGTCCTACAGTAGTCTTCACGAACACTGTTCCGTCAAATTTTTGACGAAATAACCGGAAAAATCGGAAAACAATCTTCAAAAATAGCTGAAGAACCTAAAAAAGTCTAAAAATTTTGCAAGAAGTCAAAGAAAAACACAATTTTATCTCTCGAATTTCCAATTTTTCGAATTCGATTTTAAAATTTTTAAAAACATCATGCTTTACTAGACAGCGTCTAGTAGACCCTCACCATGGTCTGAACAGTATTTGACACACTGTTTTACTTAAAATGCATCATCAGTAGAAATTTCCATGACAATTTAAAAGTTTCAGCTTAAAAACTTGATGGAAAACGTCAACGAATTTGCCGACTTCACCAATAATCTCGACATGCTGACAATTATTCGTGATGTGATGGGAGTTGAGGGGTTCCCATTGGCTCTTCACAATCTGATGTTTGTTCCGACTATTCAAAATCAGGCAGATGATGAACAGACTGTATGTGTTATTGGAATTATGAACTATGTTATCCTTTTCTTATTTTTTAGGAGTGGTGGTTGATGGATGCTATCCAAGGAAAAATTATCGGAACTTATGCTCAAACGGAACTCGGACACGGTGAGCGATTCTTAAAAAGATCACACTACAACATTCTTTTTTTTCCCGTTTTTTTTGTGCGTTCTGCAGAACGCCTGCTGATAAGAAAATATAAACCCGGGCGGGGGTCTTCCCAAATGTTGCAACTTGTCTTTTAGCAGGAAAAAAGGAAAGTTGGTGCATCAGAAAAAAGCTGTGACATGTGAAATATGGGTAGAGTTATTTGGGTGATTGATGATAATTTGTATGATAAGAATGGAAACGAAAAAAGTGATGAGTAGAGAGTAATAGATAGTGCAGGGAAAGGGCAAAACAGAATTTCAAACCTCTTGGAGATTTCTATTTGTAGTCCACTTTTTTGAAGCTAGGCCCTCATACTGTCAAGTTTGAGCTGTGTTTTCTTGGTTCCTATGCAAGATATCAAAAATGTGCCAATTGATAAAACAGTTCGGATATTATGATAAACAATTTATCCTATTCCAAGTTTTAGGGTACTTTTCAAATTGTTTACTTTTGCTGAAAGTGAGCAAAAACTTCGTCACACTTCTTTTCCTAATTATAGTTCCAAAACGCTTCATTTTAATACCTAACAATTGTAAGTTACAATTTTTCTTGAAAAAATGATTTCATTCAATTTTTAAATTTCTAAGAAATTCGTCATCTTCTCACACGACTACAAAATTATCGCAACCCAACCACGATTCTAAAAATAAACTGAACAAGAGTGTACTGCAAGAAAATAGAACTAATCGTCTTATAGGAACCAATTTGAGTGCCATCGAGACAACGGCAACTTATGACAAATCGACGGAAGAGTTTATCATTCACACTCCGACAACAACTGCAACAAAATGGTACGGAATTGATTGGAATGACTAGAAAATGATTTTATTTTTAGGTGGCCAGGAGGTCTAGGAACCAGTTGTACCCATGTGATTCTTGTTGCCAACTTGATAATTGACAATAAGAATTATGGGCTTCACCCATTCTTCGTTCCAATTCGTGATCGAAACTCCTATTCCCAAATGTCTGGAGTCCGTGTAGGTGATATTGGAACAAAGATGGGAGTGAATTGCGTGGATAATGGATTCCTAGCATTTGACAACTACCATATCCCTCGTCGCAATATGCTTATGAAACATAGCAAAGTATCCAAAGAAGGAGTCTACACTGCTCCATCTCATCCAAAAGTTGGATACACTACAATGTTGTACATGAGATCTGAAATGATTATGCATCAATCTTACTATCTGGCAATGGCTATGGTCATCGCAATCCGATATTCAGCTGTTCGCAGACAAGGAGAGATCAAACCGGGAACTCAAGAAGTTCAGATTCTCGACTACCAGACTCAACAATACCGTCTCTTCCCAGGACTTGCTCGTTGTTTTGCATTTGTGACAGCAGCTAATACGGTCCGTCAGATGACTGAAAGTTGTATTCAAGAGTTGTCGCATGGAAAATCAGATGTTCTGGCTGATCTTCATGCATTATCTTGTGGATTGAAGGCAGTAGTCACTCATCAATCGTCCACTTCTATCGATCAGGCAAGACAGGGTTGTGGAGGTCATGGATATTCGGATGCCAGTTATTTGCCAACTCTTTATAGTAAGTTATACTCAGTCTTATGAATTTTTGAATACTTGGTCCCTCTCCCGTCCCGTTCAACTATATCCACTCCATCATGTTGACTCTTATTTTTACTGGCATAGATTCGCCACTACCTTTTCCCATTCTAAAGGTCTAATTATACCCAATTTGCAGCTTGCTCCGTGGGTGCATGCACATATGAAGGAGAGAACATGGTTATGCTTCTGCAGCTGTCCAAGTACCTCATGAAAGCGGCTGCTAAAGCGGAGGAAGGAGCTGTCATGGCCCCACTTGTCGCCTATCTTGCCAAATCGGAACCAGTTGCCATTGGAGGTACAAAGAAAAACAAATGGTGATTTGTATTATTTTTCAAAATTCAGATAAGTTCGAAAAGCTGCTCAGCCATTTTGAGCATATTGCTCGTCATCGTGTCATGCATGCATATCGTCAGATGATCGAAGAAGAGAAGCAGGGAATCGAGAGAGATTACGCCTTCGCAAATCATTCGGTCGACTGGACCAAGGTATTTGTACTTTATTAACTTTAAAGAGTTTATTGGGATGTTTCAGGCCGCTCGAGCACATACAAAACTTTTCATTGCTCGTGGATTTGTGAAAATGGTTCAAGAAGTGTCGAATCCAGAAGTGCATGCTGTGTTGACAACTCTCGCTGAGCTCTATTTGTCCTACGAACTTATTGAGATGTCTTCTGATTTGACAGCCAACGGATACCTTTCAGAATCTCAAGTCCAAGAAATCAGACATCAAATTTACGATTGTATGAAAAAGATTCGTCCGAATGCCGTCTCAATCGTCGACTCATTTGATTTCTGCGACAGAGAGCTTCGTTCGGTTAGTCTGTGTTTCTGGGAATAGTGGGAATGATCCGATTGGATCTGCTTATTTTTGGGGCCGAGATAGAGACATTGACGTTCGACGAGAGAAAGAGGAAAAGAGGATTTGGCCGATTCAAAGAGAGGATTTTTGAAATTTTGTATTTAGTCGTAGGAGAACTTTGATCTTCAAAAGTAACCTATCTTTGTTGAGTTTCCTTCTTTTTCAGGTCCTCGGTCGCCGTGACGGACACGTGTATGAGAATTTGTACAAATGGGCCCAAATGAGTCCACTCAATCAGAAGAACCTGCCTCATGTGGAGAAGTATTTGAAACCAATGACCAGCAAACTATAAATCTTTTGTTTTATAACTTCTTTCCTTTGTTTCTTCTTGTTTTGGCTACCGGTGTAATTAATAAATGTACATGTATAAGAGAGAAATGTGCGAGCACGTGTATCCATGGACACGAGAGCTTTGAGCTCTCTGTCTCTTCTATTATTCATTTCGGGGGACACCAGGAGGGCTCTTTCCCTCCCAGCTTCCCCTCTTTTTCTCTTTTTCTCTAATGCTCTTCTGGAAAAGTCCATCATCATTTCCCCTTCTCTTCTTTGACACCTTCTCTCTTCAAAACAAACAAGTTGTAAATTGTATCTTTTTCTTTACTCTTGGGGTGCTCTCCTGCTATTGCCCCCTATTTATTGAGTGCCTTCTTCTTCTTCTTTCTCTTTTCACTCGTTTTCGCGGCTCAACAACACAATTTGTTGTTTCATATGCGAGACAAAAAAAGAAAGAGTGTCAGAAAATCTAATTAGGTTCATTGCATGCTTTTCACTTCTCGTTTTTTTTTCGAAATATATTTCAAAGAAGAATTGCTCCTAATTGTTGATGTGAGCGTGAGAAGTAAACAAAAGTATGCGACTAATTGAGTCAATTTTGGTTGCACACCCTCACTCTCGCAAACATACAAATCCGCCGTCATTCGTAGAATTTGTGCACAAATTCTAATAAGAAGAACTAGAAAAGAACACGCAGAGATTAGCTGATTTTATGTTTGATGACCTAGAAATTTGATCCTATTTGAAATCTGAGATTCTTTGGAAACTCTCTATGAGATTTAGTTACCGAGAGCGTATCAGATACCGATATGTTATCTGAAATTTTGTTTTGTTAAAGGATTTTCGTTTCCCAGCGTAAAGTTTTAATATGTAGATTTGTTTATTCTGACGAGAATTTTGTTTTTTTGTGAGATTAGGCAATTCAAAATGTACCACCCATCAAATCATACATACATGCACTTACTTGGGCATCGTCAAAACATCTTGTGACCATATAAAAAAGTTTCCCACGAATCCACACCCACTTCGGTCTTTCTCGTTCTATGATCTTTTCGAAAAACCATCCATCAGGGCTAATTTTTAAAGGTGTCTTTTTTTGAACAACGCAGTCTAAAAGGCTCAATGCTTGAAATTTCTAGGGATTGAAAGTTCATTTCATTCTCTCTTTTTTGAGAGATCATAACTTTTCAAAAGCGTTACTTTTCCCTCTGTCTACAATTATTTTAGATTCAATTTTCTCTACCCTGAAAATCAGAAAACACTGCCACCACAATCCCAAATGATTATTATTAATTTTTCCCTCTCTCTTTTTTATCAGATTTGCACACGAAATTTGTTTTTGTAAAGTAGCTGATAACAGAGTAGCTTTTCTCAGAATTCATACCTAATTAATATGCTCCGATTTCTAGATTAGAGGGTTGCAAAGCGTGCGAATTGTATGTTAGGGAGCGCTTGAATGATTTCAGTTGTTTTTTAGATATGAAAGATTTGAAATCAGTCGAGTAGGCAGATATGATCAGTTGAGCTTCCCTAGACTTCATGTGTATATTTTGGTTAAAAATGTGTTTTTTTCAAAAAAAAAATACCAATTCTTCTAACAAATTCCTGGAATAGATCCTTTTTCTAATTCTTAAGATAGAAGAATTCTTCTTTCATAAATTCTCATAAACTGCTCTCATCCTTCTGTTCATTTTTAATGAAGCAGCACTCAACCTAAATTGAAAAAATAAGAAGACACTTCTTCTTTTTCTTCATCTTCTAAATTAGATATGCAGCTTCTTGAACCCTCTTCTTCTTCTTTTTCGAAATATCCCACCACGTTTGTGTGCAAAACAAATACCCTTCTTCTTCTTTTCTTACCACCCTTCTTCATCTTCTTATATCCTAGTCTCCCAGTACTAAAACACATTTATTTCTATTCCCTTTTGCTCCTTTTACTCCCGCTTTCTTCTTCTTCTCATCCATTTTCATCAATTCCCCATAGCATGTTCGGTCAGAAATAACCTTCTTCTTCTTCTTTTCTATTTCCCCGCATTTCCTTGCCTTTCCTCTTTCCCATATTTCAATTATTGAATTTATGAAAAGTCGCAAAAGAGTTTAGCCACAGGGTTCGAATTGCTGCGATATGCTAATGCGCTTTATTGAGCAAGTGACATGGCAAAGTTTCAGGTCGTTTACAATTCAAATTTCTCGGAACTTTTAGTTGATTTTCAACCTCAAAATTCCTCACGTCACCTTCTCATTAAAACGCAACAGCATAGCACAGCAGTTCGAACCCTGGATTAGGAAGTCCTTTTAGAGACTTTAGAAAAAAAGAAGAAGCCCTTATTCGTGCATTTTGAGAAATTTTATCCGATAAATGAAGAAAATAAACATTTGTTCTCTCCATTTATGATTCAGCATCTACTACTACTTATCATATAAATGACACCTCCACTTGTTTTTTCCTCTCTTCCTCATCATTTTGACCAATTTCCGTTTGGTCTCTCAATTACTTTTTCTTATCAATAACTTTTTAGTTGATTGCTTTCAGCCTTTCAAACTAAACAATGGATGACGTGTCGAATGCATTGGCAATGAGCCAGTCGGTGATGGAGAAAATGAAAAAGTTGGAGATCTCGAAGGTAGGAAACTGCTGGCCATGTTTCTAGAACATCTTCTTTTTTTAGAACTACGACGTCCAGAAGTTCGAAACACTTTTGAGACTTCCCGCAAGAGACGTAAACGCGTTCATGGAGAAGGAAGGAAAGAAAACGGAGGATGAGAAGATGACGGACACTGACAAGAGGGTCAAGAATATTCGTGAGGAGAGAAAAGATCGAGCAGCAAGAACTCTTCAAAAATATGTGAGTTCTGCTGAAAACTACAGCTATCTTTTGAAATTTTTCTTTTTAGTTTCGTAAGATTCGAGTGGACGGAGAGAAAGAGGTCATCAAAAGCCGAATCACAAAAATCTCGGCCAAAAAACGAGTCCAACTTCTAGAACAGATCCGTCAAAAGATGGGAGAACAACAACCAATCAGAAGATTCGGAGCATATCAAGTTATCAGAGCAGTGGAGCTTCACAAGGGGAAACAAAAGTTCCAGAATGAGTGGTTAGCCAAAATGGCAGTGGATCTCAAGTTTCATGACAAGAATCTTTCTAGGCCGAGTAAGTTGAACACTTGAAAATAGCTCATTTCATATATTCTTTCAGACTCTCCAACCCATTTCCTTGCGAATTCGATTCCAGCTCTGATCCGCCAGAAGGCAGAGATGAAACACGCGGAGAAGATGCAGGAAATCGACAGCTCCATTATGGAGATTTATTGTGGATACCAAAAAGATAATCTTCACTAACTATCACCCCGATCTCTTTCTTTTGCTTCTCTTGTCTGCTTTCGTTTATCTTTCTCTCTCATTTCATTCCAACCTTGTGATACATACCCAGAACAATGCAGATATTTACCGATTACAGTTTTCGTTCAATAAACGATGGTTCAATATATTTTCATGTATTGCAGTACTGTAGGAAGCGAGAAAAAAGACTTCAATTATAAATATCGTAAAACTTGTATTAAAAGGTCCCTCCCCACTCATTGTGAATTTGGAGTTCAATGATCTCAATTATTATGCAAGATATCAAAAATATGTCAACTGACAAAACACTTTTGAAACGAGTACAAACAATTTATCAGTTGACAAACTTTTGATACCTTTGACAGGAACCGAGAAAATTGGCTCAAAGTTAAAAGTTAGAGGTTTTTCTATTACTGGTTTTACGGTATCTTTTACAATTGATTCTGAAAACAATCATTAGCAGGGATGTTCAGAACGGAATTTTGAATCTCGAAAAATGGAGACTCCACCAATTCCGAGGAAG